CTCAGAATTAGATTACTTACATATATGCGAACGGATAAGCAACCACACTGCACTTGAAATACATTAATTAATTATTTAGTAGTTAGTGCAGCTCCAGCTGCTTTCAACTTTATATTACGAAGAGCCACACGTCTGAGCCATACAAATTTCAAATTGGTATATGTAAAATGTTTACTTGGAATTGCTCGCATGCAAATTAACACAATAATTTTGCAGCCCATTTAGAATCGATTAAAAGGCTTTTAGTTTAAATAGCAAATGAGCAAAAGCAACAACAGCGGAGAGAATATGCTGAGCAAGCTGAGTAAAAATGCCAAAATGCGCACAACTGGCAGTTACACACAGCTGGCAGTTGCTGTTGTTGCTAATGCTGTTGTTGTTGTTGTTGTTGTTCTCGCTCTTGTCGTTGTCGTTGTAGTTGTTGTTGTTGTTGTTTGTTAAGTATTTGCTGGTTTGCCACGCAGCCATTGCCACAAAAGCCGCATGGCATGCGGAGTTGAGGCAAAGTGCACGGCACAGCAACAGCAACAGAAACACACAAATACACACACAAATACACACACAAGTACACACACACACACACACACACACACACAGGAAGACAGACACATACACGGTACGGACCACGCCCAGGCAGGAATCGCTTGCATTAAGTGGCGGTTGCCAAAGTTGTCGACGTCATGAAACTTAAACAATGCACACCAGAAGCCAGCTCCGTCCAGGTGCAGCAGTTGTAACTGCAGCAGGTGCATAACACATGCGAGGCACCGTGAAGACAGAGGCCACAAGAGCAGCAGCAGTAAGCTATTAGCGGTGGGGGGGGTGGATGGGCAATTTAAAGTGCTGCCTTTGACTGTCGTTTTCCAAAAGCAGAAGCAAAGTGGAAAGCCAGCTGATATTATGCCTCAAGGACATTAACCTAATCAACGCTCAGTGCGCAACGTTCCGCACAGAAGTAGGGAGTAAGGAAGCTATGGAAACGTGAATAGTGTGCGTGTTATATACCGTAGGGTGTGTGAGTGAGGCATGCCTTTGTGGCGTCTGCAACGTGTTGACAATTCGATAGGGGATTCTATGACGGGGGATTAGTTCGAATATTGACTACCCTGTGAATTATTATTTGCAGCTTAAGCTGATTTGGCGAAGCTACAACAATACTTAAGTTTCTCTGTCGGTGTGTGTATGCTGCGACTGCTGAAAGTTGAAATTTAAGTTTATAAGTGATTAAGGCGCACGATCCATAATTTTGAAGAAGCAATTGTGACAAAATCAAGCAAAAAGCTAGAAACAATAAGTAAAAGACTTCATAAAAGCCAGATTATCATCTGATTACACACTGAAGTTTAGAACAACGATATCAAAAACAAATACTGTGCAATTTACAATTTCCAATTTGTATATACTAAAAGTCATATTTTGTTTTTTGTTTGCGCTTTTTTGTAGAGCAACAAACAATTCTTTTTTGTTAGAGTGCACGGAATTTGCATAAAATAATATTATTATTGGCTATACGCAGATACGAGCACACACACGCAAATAGCATACGAGTGCATTAAATTATTGTTGACATAATTAAAATGAGTTGAAGTGTGTAGGCAGCCCTGACAGGGTGCCATTCTATATGCAGAGGTAGCAAAAAACACAGATCCGGAAAAACAAACATGGGAATGAAACTCAACAGCTTGTCCCTTGCATGTTTGGCCTGGCAAAAAAAGACCGAGCGAAAAACGAAATCAATGAAATTTGCTTTTTAAATGTGCCAGAGGCCAGCCACTCCCACATCCTCATCCACATCCACACCCACACCCTTGGCCAATTGATTGGCGAGCCTGTAATCAGGCTGACATGTTCGAATACGAGCATGTAATTATGTCAGCGCTTGATTGCCCGACACGCCCCTAGGCACGCGCCCTTTGTCAGTTTATGAAAATGCAATCGCCATTTTGCATATTGATAGAGCGCGGCGCAACAAAACCAGTGTGCGAAAAAAACAATGCATATATTAACATAGTGAATATATATGTATATTTGTCTATATATATGCATGTATCCATATATGGAGTGTAGTGTCGACCACTCATAATTGTCATTTACTGCTGGAACGTTGTGCAATATAATTCTTGCACAACTTATTTGCAATAATTGCAAAAGTGCAGTGATTCAAGCGCCATAAAAAACTGTATTCAAATATGCACAAATATTTCAGAGGAAATAGGAGTAAAAATAAATTGCCTATTTTTATTCATGGCAAATTGTCAGTTTCACTAATAGAAAATACATTTAAAAAAAATATATATTAAATTACAATGATTCACCTTAGTTGCAGTGTTAAAAAATGATTATTTGATATGTACAGACTTTTATTGAAAATTCTCTATTCAATTTTTAAGCAAATATTATTGAGTTTATCTATTTGTTGGATATGCTTTTATATTTGCAACCCACTTCACCTATACTGAATTCAAGTGCAACTTTGAAATAAAGTTGTGCCTGCAGTTGTCCAAAAATGTACTGATTGCTTTAGCAATATGTGTGAATGCCAGTTTAACCAATCAACTGCCAGCAGAGTTTGTAGTGGCTGCTACAAGTTAACTCGCCTAATGAGCAACACGCAGCCAAATAAGTTTAGCCTCAAAACTTACAATTTTATTAACTGCCAAACAACACCAGGTCTCTGCCTCCCTCACTCAGAGTGAGTGGAGGACTCTCGTGTGGAGCTGCACACGCAATTTATGCGCCGCAACGTATGCAACACATTTTGGTGTATGCCACAGATATTTGCAACGCCTCGAAAATGCACGAGCATGAGCGCTTCGTCCTCTTTTCCTTACACGGCGCTTGTCCTTGGTGGCAGCTTCATTAAATTTACACGCACATGAAGAACTTGAGTGGGTGAGGGTGAGTGGTATTCCTAGAACGGATTGGCAGTGGTGGCGGGAAAGGGTGGCTTAGCGAAGACGCTGTCAGTTTTGTGCAATTTCCGGCGCAATCTTCATTTACAACTTAAGTTACAGCACAAACAACTACAACTGCATGTAAACAAACAAGACAAACACACACACACACACACACACAATCACAAACAAGCAAGCAAACAGACAGATACACACACACACACACTCACACACACATTCACACCCCCCACTTGGCTGGCTGCCTATGCAAAAAGTGTAGCAGACTTTTAAGCTGTTGTGAAAACATTTTAGAGCTGGCTCCACACTATGTAGAGTATCTGTAAGTATGTATATATGTGAGCGTATCTGAACACATGCACACACACACACACACACACACACACACACACACACACACACACACACACACACACACACAGGCACAACAATCTCCTGCTGTGCAAATGACTTTGCCTGTAGCTGTAAAGTTATGCCTATGAGTGCCCATAGCCAGGGTTGCCGCAGTGCAAATTTATTAGGCACAGTGCGTACTTTTGTGCGTTCACTTGAAAAATGACAACTTTAATTTAGCTACAAGCACCGACAGTAACCAGACCCCATCCACACCCCACCGCACCGCACCCAACACCCTCGAATAGCTCTCACCGAACCAGAAAAGGGCTGAGACAAAAGCGTCAAACAGACAAAATGACAATGGAAAGCATTTGTGGCAGGGTTGCAACCAGCAGAGGAGTTTTGTGCAACTGCTTTTGTCAGTTAACCACACAGAATGCCAATGCGACCAGCTTCCAGCTATGGTTGACTCCACAGTCGGAACTAGACAGAGTCAGTAAGAGAGAGAGTCAAATAGAGAGAGAGAGAGAGAGATAAAGAGAGAAATGTAAAGGGAGACAATGACTGCGACTAAGACTAAAAGATTCAGCGCGTTGTCTTTTGATGGCAACCCCCGTCTCAGATGAATATTAATTACCATTTGAAAGCTTGTCATACACTTGTGTAAATTTATCAACAACGGCAGTCTTAGTCTAAACCAGACAATAACCAGAGTTGCCAAACTAGACTCCAGCTACAAAGTTGATGGTCGGGGGTAGAGAGTATGAAGGGAGTGGTAAACAGGCAAACAAAAGTTAGGCTTGAAATTGCTTTGCATGGCAAAGGATTAGCAAAGACTTTTACATGCATACTAAAACACATTTTGTTCGTACAGTACACAAACTCAGATCTATCCACAAACTCCAGGTGTCCGAGGGGACCGGCAATTTGGTTCACATTTTCGTGAGACTCACTGTAAAATGTCATAAATATATGCATGAGTCTTGTGAATGCATGTGCATTGTTGATATTTACACGTTACAATGCAATGTAATTGATACTCTCATTCCCCAAACATTGTTCAATGATGATGATGCTGATGATGCCTCTGGTAATTTTTGCATCAGCTTCTGCTCAGGTTTTTCGGGGCAACTCTTTTGGGACATTGTTGCCACAGGCACACAGACAAATACTACGTGTAAATTGAATTGTTCATGCATCCACATTTGGGTCAATGCATCAAGCTACTCCTGCCACACATAGCTAGTTTGTGGCTAGAGATATAGAATAGAAATTGGGCTTTTGGGTGAGTTTAATGATGTGTTCGGGATTTGACAAGTTCCATGCAATGCACTGATATGGAAGCTAAAAGTCATTTCGAGTAATTTCTGGGGACTCGGACGTTTACATGTCAATCTAGCAGACAAACAGTTCACTTAGACAAAGCTATGAATGTTGCCAATGTGAAATTGTGACCAATTCCAATCAGAACATTTTGAGGGTATAGTTTTTACCTGAATATCGAGCCAGATTCGCCTTTTCAACTTTAACTGTAGTATTAATCTAGAGTTCAAACCATGATTAAAAAGCACTGGTTTTTAATAATCGGATCACTTTTGACACAACTAATTTTGCTGTTAATTTCGAGCTCAAACCCTTAAAAACCGAGCAACGAGCTGAAAAATCGAATAAGCTACAATAAAAATAATAAGGGAATTTGATTAAAAATTAGAGCTATGAATTGACTTCAATCTCTGTTTCCTATTATTGCAGGTACCACCTACACACAACAACAGAATATCAATGCAAAGTCGCAATTAAAGACGACGCCCGCCGAGCACGCAGCCAGCAAATGGCGCAGCATATCAGAGCTATCAGATCGGACGCAGAGTCGATTCGATCTGGAAGCGGAGAATGCACAGCAGATGCTGCAACAGCTTCAGCCAGTTGACCATAGGCAGCTGTCGAGCAGTCGCAATAGTAAACCCTCCAGGTGTGCCAAGAACTGTGCCAAAGCGAAGGTGGCCAAATGGAAGGCGCAGCTGAAGAGTCATCATGGCCATCAGGCGCATCGCGCTTCTTACAACAAGGAGGCAAAGCGACGATGGCGTCGGGAGACCGAGGAGGAGGAAGTGGAGCTGCAGCTGCCCACAGTAAGCTCCAGTTCGACCACGGTGGCCACCAGTGCCGTTGTCACGGCCTATGCTAATAGAACGCTGACAACGGTGAAGGCGAAACGTGCTCGTTCCATGGTGCACCTAGCGCCGGAGGATATGAAGCCCAAGCCCAAGGAACCCGTCGTTATCATCGATGACGTCGAGGAGTTTGACAGCGGTACCTCGACACGCGACCTATTCGCCAAGAGTCGCGAGGATGGTGATCTCCTCGACGATGATGATGGGCCGCTGGAGGGTCCGCGAGCGCTGCCCCTGCGCCCAGTGCTGCCCAATCCTTACGAGGACGAGGAGATGTCTGTCGTTTATGCGGAGCAGCACTCGGAGATTAGGCTGATGTGCGAGGTGGATCTGGATATATCCTCCAGCATGTGGTATAAGAATGGCCAGGTAAGTGACAACAATTGGAGCAGTACTCGCAATTCTCCATTTCCATGTCAGCTAGATGTCTCTAGTTTAACTATCGCTGTCGGAGCTGCCAACTTGTTTGCAGCTTTTGACTTTAATTGCATTCTTGTAACGGCCCGTTAGATTGCAGGGTGTCCTTTTGCTCCCTTAAGCTGTCTCGCAGCCTTCGCATTTTAATATTTGTATCCTATAGTTGCAGTTGCTTCTTTACAGTTGGGTATATTGTCAAACGCTGAAGTTACTACATATTTCAATAGTTTAAATAGCATCTTGAATCACGTTTATATTATTTTTGATTTATTTCTAATAATTTTTCAAGATAGTATTTTATGCATATTCTCTAATAATACAGTTGAATGTGATAAATGATCACAGGGTATTAGATCGTCTCATTATCTTGTGCTATCTCTCCGTTTCTTTTGAGTTGTTCATGACTTCTTAGTTGCTTTTTATTGTCGCCTGCACTGCGTTTGTCCTTTGTGCCAGCTGCCCTCGCTCCCTTCGGACGCTGTCTTCCATCTTCCTGTCAGACGTCTCGAGTGCCAGTTTTTTATGCCCGCCTGCTCCTTCTCGCTGCCATTCTCAATTCCATTCTGTGTCTGGCTTTTGTGTGCTCTCTGCTTATTTGTCGTTTAAATGCCGCATTATGCAAATAGGATAATCGTTATTATTTGATAGTTTCTGATGTCAAAAGCATTTAAGAGTTCATCTGTCAGGGCGACCTGCTGCACCTCCCCATGCCCATGCCCATTCCACGCCCACTTGCAGGCCATGTTAACGGCTTAACTGGTCGTTTTTGCTTTGATATTCTGTGTGCTTCATGGCCGACTTCTAATTACAACTTTGCTCACCGTGGCAACGCCCACGAGCATGCAGTGAAATATTACACAAATGCGAAATACTGTTGCGTACTTTTTTGGGATGCAGCTTACGCCTCAACTAACGAGTTAAATTAAAAATGAAAATACGTACAATGTGAAAAAACTGCAGCTGCCAGCAATTGGCAGGCGGAGCAGCAGCTCCAAAAACCGAAAAAGCTGGCAACAAAATTAACAAACATGGCGCAAAAGTTAACAACCAGCCGGCAAAAGTTATTGAGTTGTAATTGCGAGTGCAAACAGTCAACAAGTCAGGGAGGCGGGGCGGTATGTTGAGAGTAGGGTGTGCAAAAACATAGTCAACCTGGCGTAATGCAGTTATAACCGCTTTGCCCGCCGGAACACAGTTGAGAGTTTTTACCGAGGCAACTGAACAACAATGTTGATGATGGTGGAATGTTGTAGTACACAATACGCATAGGGTTGAAATTCATAAAACTGTGCGGTTGAGTGGCGAAAAACACACAAAATATATAAATGAAAAACCATAGAGTATTTTGTTGCATCTGACTCGTTATAAGTTAAATTCGAAGTAATTATTGTTTTCAGATTTTTCGAATTTTTAGGGATATGATTTGAAATACAAGCACTTAATTAATCGCAAAGAAATACTATACTATATAAAATAAACGTTATGAACATACTTATGTATTATTATAAAGTATATGCAATTTAAACTGTATCTAAAGTTGTACAGCTTATTAAATGAAATCCTTAATTTATTTGATTTGAAATATTTTGAAAAATTTAATTAAACCTGTTACGCTGATCTCAATAAAATCTAGTGCTGCACCAAGACAACTTCATGAGAAAGTCATTATAGCTAACTTTAACTGGTTTCCAAGTTATACAATGCATAAACAACTAAAGAGGCGGTGTTCCAACCCGTTGTACTTTGCAGTTCTTGTTTACTTTACTGTTGCCTGCTTTTATTGTTGTTTGTATTATTGTAGTTGTTGTAAGTGCAGCTCTTGTGCAGTGCAAATTGCAACAGTGGCAACAACAGTGGCTGCAATGAGTGGGCAGGCCAAGTTGTTGATGGGCAAATAATAGTTGAAACTAAAACAACAACAACAACAACAACAGTAACTGCAACATCAACTAAAACAACAACAATAACAACAATGATTTTAACAACAACATCAACACTTTGTGTACGTGCTTCGGTTGTTGGTCTGCGGCTTGGCTTGGCAGTTAACTGTCGCTTGCAAACAGCACCTGGGCCCAGGTGTTGGTGTCTATTTGTGTGTATGTCTCTCTTTGTGTGTATGTGTGTGTGTGTGTGTGTATCTGAGTATGGCACAAAGCGTTGCATACTTGCGGGTGGCTGCATGCAAACATTGTTGCTGCCAGTATTGACTAACAGTGTCTGTTATTGTTGTTGTTGTTTTTGTTCACTTCTCGCTGTTTATTCTATATGAAAATTAAATTGAATACTTGGCGTTTTTCGTAAGCGCGTAAGAAATTTGCCATCAACACAGATTGAAGAAATCCGCCAAATTGGCTGTCAACAGCTGCCATTTTGGCATATACCGATTTCTGGCAGACACGTCTCTTCCCCTCGTCCCTTCGCGCCTTGCCACTCGTTCGCTGTCTGCCGCCTGATTGTCGTACTTGTTTGTATTAAAGACGAAAAAAATCAGACGACGACTTGGAATCTTTGCTACAGTTTCGCATCTATCGAATGCGATTGCTTTTATTTACAAAATTTCTCCACGCCTGGGCGAAACATATTTTTGCCACACGTCCTTCTGTGCGCTGCATTTTGTCGCTATTTTTGTTATTGTTGTTTTATAGGCTATCAGATGCCACACCCATATCTCATCCCGTCTGAAAGTTTTCATTTTCCCTCAGAGCCTTCAAGGTCTGGGCTAAGCTTTTGTCTAGCCGCGATTTGTTGGCTTTTATTGTTCAATATGCTCGCAGGCGACAAATGCCATTTATGTCTGGCTTGCGGTTGTAAGGGTCTCCTAACTGCACTCCTGCCATAAGAACAACAACGTTTCGTGAGTCGAAAGTAAATAAAGCTGTTTTCTGAGATACTCTATACGATTTCATAGATTGGAAAGATATAAATATTTTGAGATGAGTATACGAATTTGGCGGATTATGATTGAATTGAAAAAAAGGATTTCATTTTGCAATTACTTTGCAGTCGAAAGTAATTTTTAAGTAAATAGTAATCATTTAACTCAAGCCATTTTATTCTTTTATTTTTTTATGTTAAAAAAATACCTAAATACAAATACCTCTTTTCTACATATACATATATTCCCTTATATACTCTAACCCTTTTCGGTGCTAACGTTGCAGACCCAAAGTGATGCTCTGTTTTTATGGTTGCATCTCAGGTCACTGGCCATTGTTGCATACTTTGTTGCTTGTAGCTTGGCAGGCTGCAACTTATTTATTGCTCCCTCTTCTTGCCGTTGCTGTTGGCTGGTTGTCATTGCTCAGATTTAAAATTAGGGGCCAAGGCTGCTTCATCTTCCTCTTCTAGATTTTATTTGCCACACACAAACTGCCGCATAAATCTCAAAGGGTTCGCCTGCCAAAAGCCGGGATAAGTCTCCATTAGTCAATTTGGCGGCACAGGGCAGGACTTAATATACGGCATTAATTGAGCGGTGCTGCAAGCACCACCCTGGTGGTGCACAAAGGTGCGAGATGGTGGCTGCCGCTGCAGCTGCAAGTAAATCACATCAAGCCAAGAAATTAATCACTCAGACTGCAAAGCGGCGCAAATCCCCGAATGAAAATCAGCAACAATGCGACGTCAGATCAGCCTCCTCATAGGGGTAAAGCGGAGAGGAGAGGGGGCGTGGCATTGTATGGCACAAGTTGCTAACATGCCGCTTACTTTGTACCTTTGACAAGTTTATTAAGTTAGTAACAATGTCGGGGAATAACTCTGGCCGGGAATGCCTCAGCTGCACAACTCGACGACTCCAAGGCTTCTCGACTCCTCTGATCCCTTCACTCTAGCGGCAGCTGTACTCCGATGGCAAATAAAATCAACGTCGCTGACGTTGCAACATCAGCTGAGGCAGCTGTGGCAAAGGAGGCAACATTTTCCCCACGGTGCAATTGTATTAGTTGTGTTAAAACAAAAGCCAGCCATGTGAAAGCGAAGACATGAACAGAGCACATGCAGCAGATTAAGAAGCGCAGGAGTGGTTTGGCGATGGTGGGCGGCAGCAAGTGGTAGTGGATTGAACCACAGTGGCTGCAATTACAACAATGATGCGGCAACAATGTGAGACAGTGTTTGAGTAAATGGAGAAGCAGCTGCACTGCACGTTGGCAACCAAGCAACGAGTGCAACACACCGCAATTAAAATTCTCTTCACGGCAACAGCAGCAACAAATGAAGTGGAATTCTACGAATCACGTTTCATAAACTTGATTAAATATGATTATTTTGTGAGATACTACAATATTCCAAATGAAACGATATTAACCCGCTTTAAATATGCAGCTGCCGCTCGATTTAAGTGAAGTTAACTCATTTATTATAAGCTTCGTAAATGTTTGCTTTAGCCCCATTTCCGTCGGCTTCTGCTGCCCTGCGCCTAGCAAATATATATTTAATCATTATCACTGATACCCCACCTCCCTTCACTAACTCTCTCCCTCTCTCTTGCCCCCCAAACAGTAAACAGCATTTGCAATTGCATTTCAGCTGCTGTTCGCTGACTTTCGTCTTGTGAGCTGTCTTCAGTAAGACTCTGCAACAAACATACAGACTTCTAGTTGCCTCGTTTTCCCATGCGCCCCCGCGCAACTCCATCCAGTGCTCAGTGCAACTACAACTGCGGCAATGACATGCGACAAGTGTTGCAATGACAGCTTGCAACATGAGCGACTTTTGTTGTACTTTCTGGAGTGCTGCACAATGCATTCGTCGAGTCCCCAGCTACTCTGAGTGCTTGCCAAACCACCCATCCCACCCTGCCGCTCAACATGTGTATGTGAGTGTGTGCCAAAGAATTTATTGTTGAAAATTATCAAGAGGCTAATATATTTGCCGAAAGCAATTTCAAGTTAGTAGCTTTGGGCCAACTGAAGCAGCAGTAGAAGAAAAAAGCGAGCACAACGAGCAGCGACAGGCAGCGAGTAATGTTTGCTGACAAGATTTTTGCAATTCCAAGCTACAGAGACAGCAGCACACAAAGATGGAGAGACAGAGATAGAACGTGAAAGAGAAAGAGAGTGAGAGTGAGAGAGAGAGAGATATAGAAATATATATATTGAGACCTTCTTTTGTTACTTTAACTGGCTGGTAGAACCGGAAATTGGGTGTAACTCAAGTAGCTCAAGGTGGGATATATTTGAAATTAAACTAAAAGTCAAGCGATAATAACTATGCTTGCTGCCAAGAAATAATGTTGTACGCACATTTTCATATAACAACGAACACGATTTCTAATTTTAAATATATATAGTGCATTTGTCTCTCAAGTTAATTAAATCATATGACTAGCCAACAAACAATTTGCATTATTTTAACACGGCGCTTGGAATATAAATATTGAGAAATAAATGTGCATACAAAATGCTGTTACACGGCCAATTAAATGTAAATCGCAAATAGCCAAATATTAAAACGACGTAATTAGAAAATACAATGCCAAAAATATAAAAGAAAAAACAACAACAAAAAAAAAAAACAAACCGGGAATAGTTTTGGCCATGTCGCAATACAGCAATACAGAAGTGGCCAAATCCCAAAAGGGGAACCAAAAACGGCAGTCGCCAGATAACGATGTCGCAAATTATGCAAAGTTATGCGCATGTAAAACTCAAATGTGCCTTCAAATATGCAACAATTTATGCGAATTCAGCCAGCTGCAATGCAACAAAAATGGAACACAAAAAAAAAATGAACAACAATAATAACAAAAACAACAGCAACAATAGCACAAACAAAAAGGCGAAAAATCATAATTACCCGAGAACAGATCGCCGTCGCATGCGTGAGATTTAATGCCTCCAAACAATGGCTGGCCAACAACTGGTCCAGCTTCGGCTCTGGCTCTGCCTCTGCCTCTGGCCACGGCTCTGGACTCTGGACCAAAGTCCAGCCTCTGATTCTGGTTTGGGGCGGCCAAAACAATCGAGCGTGTAATCCGCTGGCCGCTCTCGACTCGCTGTAAACAAGGATTTGCCACGCTCATTTAACGCTTTTGTCTAGCGGCCATGTTGCCAAACCAAAATCTCTCACATACACATGTACAATTTGCAGGTGTGCAGTCGCCAAAAACTGGCATGTCTCTGTGTGTGCTTGTATGTGTGCCATGTTACCTCATAAATTTCCAACTGAATGCGTCGCTGCACAGCCTGAAAATCCAGTTGCCAGTTTGCCAGTTTGCCAGTTTTGTGTTGCGTTTCGCGTCCAGCGCGTCGACCGCTGGTTAATAAATTTCTGAAATGGCCGCAGCGGCGACGGCGGCAAATGCTCAACGGAAGTCGAGAAAAACACACACAAACACAATCGCGACTGAAACTCACACAGTTACAAAGTGAAAATACAACGCTGCCAAGTCAGCACGAAAAAATTGCTAAAATCCATGCACGCATAAATATTTGCACTGCTTTCCAAAAATTGTATACAAAAATCATAAATGTTGATGGAGGATGGGGAAAGGGGGTTGGGGTGGGGTGGGGTGGGTTGGGGTATTTGGGTTGAGCTAACAAAAATTGAAAACTCGCACGCAACGGAAACGGAAGCGCAGCATACAAATATAAATATTTTGTTTATACTATATACTATATATTTTACACAGATTTTCCAGCATTCATTTATTTATTATGTTTTTCTTTTTTGGCATTACGTAATGTGCAAGAGTTGTTGGCAAAAATGTTCAGTTATATATTATTTATATATGCAATACCACGAATAAATTTACAAGACAAATTAGCAAGGGCACTGAAAATTATTACAAAATTCATATAGTCCTTTAGAAGTGCATTCTACACATTACAGATGTGTTTAAATGGAAAGATTGTTACAGATATATTGAAATGGAAGGATAGTTTAAGCTTTGAATCTTTTGCCTAAAATATTTGGATCTTTTAAATATTTAATTTATGTTTGTGAAGTGAGCTAGACTGCAACCGATATTCTGGTGTATGGTTTAAAGATATATATGAAAAGCGTAGAGATATGGAAATGTCTTAACAAATATTTAACATAATGTATAATTTTGGAATTATATAATATATTTTTGAGGAACTCTTAGCTGAGATAAAAGTCATAAATTAAATTTTAACTACGGAAATTGGAATTTTATTGCAAAAGTTAAATTACTTTTGGAGATTACAGAGGTACTTCAACTGGAAACTACTTTTGTTGGCAGAGCAGATGACAGACATTGAAATATTTACATGGAGATTGAGAATCTTTTGTGCTCAGCATACGTCTACTTAAGTGAGCTTAAAACGCTATCAGAAGTTAAGCTCTGGCGTACAATTGCAATTAAATTTATTTATGCGTGCTGAAAATGAACGATGCCACGCCCCCATTAAGCACGCTACTCATTTAACGTATTTACCGAATATTTTTCATATTTTTGCCCAGCATTTGAATGCGCACATAAATTTTCAGCAAGCATTAAGCCACCTTATATGGACACCAGGACACCCACAAACAGGCATAACAGACAGGACAATGCGTCCAAGCCGAAACAACAACTATTGGCCACATTTGGAATATATTTTTTTATTTTTATTTTTATTTTCATTTTCACATTTTTGTAAGCCAGCAAACAGTTCATTGTTCCCGCATTACAGTAACTGTACTCAGTGGATTTGTATGTTATGGGTACAAACAAGCGCATTTAAATTATCATTATTTTCGTTTGTTTGAAATGAATTGTAATAAAATGTCTGGCCTGTAAATAAATGTTGGCATCTGCTTTATACACACACACACACACACACATTTATATTATGGCATACAGTAGATAGGAGTCCCGGGATAGGATCGTTGCATTTATCAGGAAATTTATGCGCGCTTAAATGCGCTGCATTAAAAGTTGAGTGCGGCATAATTTGCATAATTTCGACAGTGCCTGCAACTCAAGTGACATTACATTTAATGCCAGCAAAACTTGCCTCTGATCTCACTCTGTCTCTGTCTCTCTTCCCCGCAGGTGGTGCATGCCATGGACCGCACAACTCGTGTCACCGACTATCGCTTTATCAAGGAGGCTAATGGAGCGCTAACCATCACCAATGTAATGCTCGAGGACGATGGCAAGTGGCAGTGCGAGGCGGAGAATACGCGACGCTACACCGAAAATGCTCGACCCGTTAAGCTGGTCGTGCTGGGTGAGTACCAAAGTAACAATACCAGGTGACAACAACTAGGCACACATAAAAGTTTAGACAAATATTAAAAAAGTCGTTACATTTGCGAAATTAGCAATCGCGCGTAGCAGGCAATAAGCCAAGCCAAGTTGGCGAAGAAAAACTTTCCCTATTAGCTCGATTCGTAGGTAGTACAGTTGTGTACCCGATAAGCTAGTTGCAAACGTGAGAAACTGTAGCCAAGAAGAGCTCCCTGGCTGTGGTGCATGGTAGCTTACACAAATGACGCCTACGCCAGACTCTTGTCTCTCTGATTACTGCAATTAGGCTTAAGTCTTCTTTGGGCAACTTTTTTTCTTCCTGGCTAAAGTCGAAAGAAACAAAGCAAGGGCTAAGATGTAGAGGTTAACGTTTCACAAGACACATAAGAAGTGAAGAAAGATACTTATATATGTGTATATTGAAGATTTTGTACTTAAGCCTGATAAAACGAATTTGCAGGCTCGACAAGTTCATTTAAAATTGCTCTCTTTTTTGCTGCTTTATATCTTCTATAGCAAGCTCTTATTTATGTTTAACTCCCCACAGATCGTCCAAAACCGCCATATTTGCTGATTGACTCACGGCGCCTGGATGCAGGCAACATTTTCGTGCCCGTCAAGGAAAACTCGGAGCTGAACTTGGCTTGTGTCAGCGAGGGCGGCAATCCACGACCCACGCTCACCTGGGAGGTGCTGCTGAGTCCTGGCGTAGATCGTCATGCCCAGAAAGTATCCGCTGAGGTCCTAGAACTGGAAGAGATCAAAAACGAGAAGGTTAGTAACAGCTTTCTTTGAGATAAATGAATGAATGGTCAGACAGGCGTTGAGTTTGGGCTGACACTTTGACATATTGTTTGTCGTCCTAATACAACCCGGGCAAGACCGCAAGCCAAATATAGTTTGAGAGGGAGTAAGGGAGTGGGAACAGACAGCAAACAGATTAAGTGTGGATAACGGCGGCATTTCTGGCTACGGCTCAAGCAATGGATCTCCGGTAATGGACGGACAAATAGCCGAACGGACAGAACGGACAAGCTGCGGTTGAGCCAAAATTGTTTGTCTTGCACTCGAGCATAATGAAAAGCAGACATTTTGGTCAAGCGTTGCAAAAGCAGACAAACCACCCAAACCACTCCACCACCCGCAGCCACCTGTCAAACACATCGAAGATGTCGACTTGAGTGTTTAGTGTATGTATGTATGTGTGTGTGTGTCTGTGCGTGTGTGTTTAAGTGGGAGTGTATTTGTTTGCCGTCGACCCTAAATGCCACAAATTTGCGTGTTTGCTCTGTTTTTCGACCGTCCCAAACTACAGTGTTGCCACGCCAGATGATTGATTGAAAACTGTGCCAACAAATTTGCATGTCAAGGCGCTCAAGAGTGGTGCGAATGGTGCTGGTGCTGGTGGTGCTGCTACTGGGCGTTGTCGTTAGAATTGCCTTTGCCCTTGCCCTTATCCCGGACGCTTTAATTTAAATTAATGATGTCGCGCTGATAACAGGGCCCCAGACTAATTGGCTGCTCTGGCTAGCTGCCTTGTCATTTCGCCCAATTTGTCCCGAGCCTAAGCCTTAAATTGTAATGGCATTTTTATTAACCCACACTCTGTCTCTATCTATCTATCGCCCACCGACAGGATAAGAACGGCTACAAAATCAACAGCGGTGCCAAAAGCGAAGCCCGTTTGCCCGCCGTGTATCGAGCGCACCACAATGCCCGGATTCTGTGCGTCATGGAGCATCCCACGCTGAAGATTCGACAGAATGCCTCCCTACTCCTGGATGTGCAGTGTAAGTGGAATTTATGCTTGTCGATAACTATTTTTAGACCGGCGCTTAAGTTTTGGCTTACCTTAATCTATATATAAAACCATTCACTTTTTAGGAATAGAAAGATTTTTTGCTGTTTATTTTTTTGGCAAATTTTTCTTTGTAAATTATATCGAATTCCAATGTAGAATTTAAATAAGTATTTAAATTTAGTTTAATATAAATTTCAAGGGTCAATGGATGTTAACTAGAATATTTAATATACAAAGATTTAAATCAGGATATTTGTACAACTCATGTCAGAGCTAAAAGTCAGTCAGTCACTTGGCATCATATTTATATGTTAAAAAAGTTTTGTGCCAAAGTCAAACACGATGAAAATCGCACCTTGTTTAATTAACACAGCCGGCGATAGCGAGAGTGGTGGGGTAATTGGGTGGAAATGTGCTGATGACGAGTGGGGGTGCAGAGGTGGTGCGAATGCGGCAAGTAAAAGTGAAAACCAAAAAGCAAATGTTGATTAAAAAGTTAAATTGCTAAAGTTAACACACGCCACGAAGCACGTAGTGGCCTGGGCATGGCTAAAGGGTATATGGTTACAGGGGAAGTGGGAAGGTGCGAAGGTGGGAAAGTCACCAGTCTACGATGGGCAATGGAAAAACAAAGGCGTAAAAATTATTATGCAGCTGCAGAAATAAAAGAGAGCAAAGGTGAAAATGTATAAAAGGAAAGTGCAGCAGCAAATAAAAAGAAATATTGCAATGGGACAACGTAGAGCCACAGCTATATGAATAGAAGGAGTGTGGGCACAAGAACAGTGCCAGGAACTGGGACGTTAAGTAATAAGCAGCCCACTTGCGATTCAGCAATCAAAAGTAAGCAACAACTTTTTAATTAACTCTCAATGGGCAGGCAAAAAGATGGCCTGCAAAGATGCTTAACAATTTCTAAATATAGCCAAATGATTGTCAACAAACTCGGTGTATTAATGATGTTTTAAAAAGAAAACCCCAACATAACAAAAATATTAATAATTATTGACTGATATTTGACTTTTATCTGAATGTGCCAACTTTACAAGAAAGCAAGAAAGGCACTTCTTGTAAAACATTTATAGTTTAGATATTGTTAAAACTACTTTTGACATGCATTCAGACTGCAATCTGAACTAACTAGATTCTAGCATCAGAATTTTATTCCTACAGAGTGAAGGACAACTTTTAACAAGCTGTTCTATTGAAGGGTCATAGTTTGCTGCTCGCTTAAGCCTTAAGAAGTTGGCAAAATAAAAAATAGAAGAGCCTGCACCCATTTAGGCCAGCATTCATAAATCAGATTTCACGTGACTTGAGGAGAGACAGAGAGAGAGGGAGAGAGAGAGACGGAGGGAAATAGACAAAGAGAGAGAGAGAGAGAGAAAACATTTCCGCCATCAGCACCGGCTGCAAATCAAAATCAATGGCAGCAATTAGAGGGACTCGCACTAATTGGCAGTAACAAAGCCGCAGACACGTGCTGAAATTGGTAGCTCAGCATTGCAGGAGAGCAGGATCAGAATATATAAAACAAAGTGCCACAGTTATTTGCTTTATTAATGCTCGTCAAGCCGCATAATGCCATGACAAATGCCAAGGTAGAGAGACGACGACGACGACAACGACGACGATGCCCATGATTGGAAAATATAGAAAAGCCGTGCGGGATTTGCATGACTAAGTCCCGACTATGTGAATGTCGAATGCGGAATCTCGATGGATATACTTGCTTGTGTGTGTGTGTGTGTTTGTTTGTTTGTTTGTGTGTGTGTGGACTTCGGCCAGGCATGAAAATTGCAAAAACCGCAATAACAACAGCAAAAAGCCTACAACAATAACAACTACAACAACAGACGCGGCAGCCAACCGCAACGTTTTACAACAAAGAACAACTGAGAACAGTTCCCCGTTTAAACCAATCCTCCTCACTTCTCGCAATGCCCTCTCCTATTGTTATTGTTTGTTACGGTTGTATAAATTAAAATGCACACACATGAAAGCACTTGCTCAGACAGTTGAGGATTGTTGTTTTTGTTGTTGTTGTTGTTGTTGTTGTTGTTAGCCATTGCTATTGCTCTTGTTGTTTTTAATTTCACATTTTTTTTGCAGTCAGTTGACAGACAAATCAAGGACATCAATCGTAATGCAAACGAGACGCGCCAAATGCATAAATCTTTTAACAATTCAAACTATTGAATACTACTGAAGTTTAAATTTGTCCAAGAGGACATTCAAAGAATTCTGAATGCCAACCTTTAAAAGGACTATCTGGTTTTTTGCATCCTCTTTTCTTATTTACAAACATTTTTTCTGCCTGGCGAAATGGCTTGGAAATTATATTTGGGAACCGGCTGCAATATCTAGTTAGACAAGCACAACAATTTTTGCACCCCATTTTTTGATTTCGACTCATAGATTTTTCACCATACAAATTGATAGACATAGCCCTCTGATGGCCAGACACGGACCTGTAGCCCTCTCTCACACCCACCAAACATACAATTCCCTGCACCGCCGACAGGCCGTTCAGTTAGCCGCATAAAAGGCAAACGGGCGTCGTTGAATGTCCACCGGACTGAAGTCCTTTCATACACATTCAAATACATATGTTTTTGTATGATGTCTGACAACTGCTGTCTGTATGCATGCTACGCCCACAACCACACTCACACACACTCAAACTGACACACCCAGAGTGACACACACTCAGACGAATTTCTATTGAATAGTTTGGCAAACAACCGACAAACAAATTTCATTTGCCCTGCATAATCAAATTGTATTAGTTACAAAAGCCCACAAGGGCCAAAGGGGAATGCGCTGCAGAAAGAGAGAAAGACAGAGAGAGAGAGAGAGAGAGGGAGTGACAGAGAAAGGGGCGAAGAACTTAAAAGATTGAAATCGTTGTTCGTTTGGATATTGTTGAATTTTTTGTATGGGTTCCGTAATTAAAAAACATTTGATTTATGCCTATGAATATGCATTGAATGCAACGAGAAATATATATATATACATATATTTATATATGTATTTACATATGTGAATGTGGGCGTGTCACTTGGCCCAGCTATTCATATTATTTACATTCACATTTGCATTGAGATTTGCATTTTGTCGATAGCTTTCTGACATGCATTCAATGGACTTTTGATTGGCACCCAAATGCAGTTAGATTTAATGGCATATCAATTTCAAAAAAGATATGGAATCTATTCGCATGTGGCATACGAATTGAGAAGTTCCATGAATGTTTAATCAAATGCAAGGAAACGGACCCAGATAAATTTATTCTACGACAACAACAGCAACAAAAAAGCTTTCGATAAACATAAAAGTTAAATAGTGAAATCATTAGAGCGTTTCAAATGTAATTTTAAGCATAACACTTGTTTGATTTTTAATCTGAGAAGTAGATTTTTGTGAATTTCAATAACTTAAATAGAAATACATTTATAAGCTTGCAAATTTGGCTGTATATTTTCCTCTCTCAAAAATATACATTTAGATTCAGAAACAAAATACTAATTTTAGTTGTTCTCTTAAGGGGAATAGCAAATTTTTAGATTTCATCAAAAGTTGCTTTCTTTACTTTTGGCACTCAAACATGCTGTTGAGCATGGAAAGATTCAGGAACAACGTAGTACGTTACTTTTGTTAGCTGCAACTCAAGGGCCTCACAATACAAAAACAGGAATAAAAAGGAAAAGAAAAGAGAAGCAAACACACATTTGCATTTAGTTTAATTATAAAAGTTTCTCTCGCTTGAGGTTTATTTTTGTGTAGTGTAATTTTTTAATTAAAAACTATTTTGTAGATGTTGCCACAGTCGCCGAGGCGACAGGACAAAATAACAAACCGAAAATCGCTTCGTATCTGTGTGTTATATCTATTCTTATAATTGTTCCCCTGTTGCCCCTTTCTCCTTTCACCAACAGATACGCCATCGTTTGCAATCTCGCGCACACCTGGCTTTGGCTATCCGCTGCGGGAGGGCATCGAAGTTAGCCTCAAGTGCGATGTCGACTCGAATCCTCCGAGCACGCCGCGCTGGCAGAAGGATGACGGTGACACACCGGTAAGTCTTGCAGAACTTATGCATACGTTTGCTGCAGCTCCAGCCTCGACTCGACACTGAGTTGAATTTTAGATTTTCGGCTTGCTTTTGTGTGATTTTTGATCAAGGAGCAAGTTTTAAATGGATTTTCGTGCCGAGTTGTCGCGAAAAAGTTCTTGGACCAACTATTTGCCTTGCCTTAATTACCAAAAATTGTTTACGCATAAGAACGAAACTCGTTTCTTAACCACCAGTCCCCAACTGCGTCTGTCTCAATTTTGGACTAACTCTCTCTCTCTCTCTCTCTTTCTCTCTGTCTGTCTCTCCATATTTGTGCAATTTTACAGGTGCCGCAAACGGGTGATGGTTTCCTCAACTTTACATCGATTAGACGGGAACATTCCGGCTGGTACAAGTGCACATCACGGCATCTGAACTTTCAATACTCGTCGATTGGCTATTACCTCAGCGTGAGATGTAAGTACTCTTCAAATAAATTAGCGCTTGTATGCGTGAAATTGCCTTCGAAAATGGCGCGTGATAATATTTTCGCCATTAGTTCTCATATAATAAAAATGTTGTGCACCCCAACCAACCCAAGAGAAAAGAAAGCTAGAAAAAAAAAGATGAAAAAAAATGGCAAAAATTGCCGCGTAGCTTTTACGACACTCGCACATGGTGCGTCCCATCATCAGTCGCAGCATTGCTGTGCCCATTTGCCCCATCCCGTGCCTCATCAGTGCTGGGGGTTGCCTCGTTGCATACTTCGAGGCGTTTCGCTACCCTCCATATGCAAAATGTGGCAAATTTCATTGGCATTGGCATTGGCATTGGCACTGAGACTCAGGCTGAGGCTGAGGCTGAGCAACACTGTCAACCCTCTGTCTGTGACACCCAACCCGCTGTTCCCCAACCCCCTCTTTGCCCCTGCCACACTATTTTTGCTTACGCGCCATTTTGCTGTCAATATTTTCTCGTTTTGCGGCTAAAGATGTTCGTCCTCCTGCTACTCCTGCTCCTCTCCCAATATTTGCTATTGAGGGGTACACTTTATGTGCTGAACGCGTGTTAATGCTTGTAAATATTTTTATTTTTATTGAATTTATGTCGCTGACAGACGCCACTTTGTAAGCAAATGTTGTCGCTATGTTCTTGCCTAAAAGCAGCCAGTCAAAAACTTTTTACTTTTTTCTTCGCTAAGCGAAAATAAAATTTGATTAGCTTAATATGAGTGTGTGTCTATGTGTCTGTGTGTATGCAGCTTAAAAGTAATTTTCAAACTCATTACGTTGCAATAAAATTGTGTGCGGACAGACACATAAATTTGTGGCACAACAGTGGGGCAACGCAGCTTATCAAATTCCAATTCAAAAATCGACACCTCTTGGATCTATAAGATCAGTTTACTTGTTTATTCTGTTCAAAGTTCAATCGATTTACTAAGTAGCCGTTACCCAAGTTAAACCAAATAACTTTGGACACCAAAAAGACTTTTCCACAGTTTTCCCTACAGGTCTTAAAACCATATATTTTTAGTTGTGATAAATGGAATTGACAATGCTTGTACGTAGTCTCCTATGCTCAACACTGATGATCTGGAGATTTTCAGATCACCTCACGCCCACAGGAATTGCCCAATCAATGTGCCAGCTTCTTTCTATTACCCTCGTTCCCAATAAAAGGCTACAGTTCGTAAAATTCGCGCTCATCAATCATGACAAACACAAAATGACTGCCAGAAGCCGCTCAAAGCGGAAACTGCAAACAACAAAGGAAAAGGCAGCAAAAGCAAACCAAAGCAAGGCACACACAAACAAAAACAGAAAAAAGGAAAAGAAAATATTATTGGTAATAACAACTTGACAAAGTGTTGCCACTTTTTTATGCGAATGCTGGCCGCAGGCACTGTTACGCCCACAGCTGTCCCAAGCTGACCCAGGGGAGAGATTTTTCCTCAAGGTTGAAATTGTGTTATGCGTTCACAAAAATAAAAATACAAAAAAAAATGAAAGAATGAAAAGGAAAAGCGAAAAGCATCCTGACAGGCGGCTGTCGTTGCTCATTATGGGGAAAACAAATGCTTTATTAATAAAAATAAAAGCGCCCAAAGAGGCCAAGAAGTGAAGTTGGCAACAGAAAACAAAAAATACATGCGCCGTGCCCTTCTGAGCCGACATATCGACATTTATCGATGATTGATGTGCCAGGCTGCCCATCTCACTCTCACTTTCTGCCCATCTCTCTCTCTTTCTCCATTTCTCTCTCTCTCTTTCGATTGTCGAAAACTTTTGCCGTTGATTTTGCAGTGAAATCTAATTGTGAGGGGAGTTTTTGGGTTTGGTTTGGAGTTTGGCAACATGTTAAGCACATAAATCAATTTGTAAAACGTTTACGAAAACTGCCAAATGGCAAATCGAACTGGCAACAGTCGGCATAATATACGTGTAGAACCTATCCACTTTCCTTTCAGTGCATAGGTATAATATGTCTCTGTGTGTGTGTGTGCGCGCAGATAAAGTTGAAGGCAATATCTATAAGATATAGTATGCGAGGATTAGCTGTCATAAACTAGCAAGCAGCTGCACAGCTTTTGATAAATGGCGCTTCAAATAAAAATGCCGAGCAAAATTGCAAAAAATTGTAAACCAACAAACCTATAGAAGACGGGGTAGAGATGATAACAAGAAAACTGATAAATCGCAATTTGATTTTAAGCATCCGTTGGCAGGAAAAGAAGACCCCCCTTAAGCTCCGACAGACGTTTGAATGCGCGCTTAATTGCTGACGATATGTTTTCTAGTGCTGCAACGCCTCAACCCATCCTCCAGCCATTGGCCATTGAGGTGGAAAACGCCGTGCAGGTAGCAAAAGAAAACTTTGCTCGAGTGCCTGACAAAATGCAATGAAAAAGCAATCAGTGTCCTAGACGACGTCAGCGCCCCAAAAACTACAGGACATGCTCAGGACGAATGGCTAAAGTCAACAGCGCGACCGATGTCCGCCGTCCATCGTCCATCGTCCATTGTCCAAAGTCCAACGTCCACGTTTACAAAAGTAGGCAATTTGACGTAGTTTCTCAAAGTTTTGCGCCAGCCACTTTCACGTGATTGATTTGCCGGCTGTGCCGGCAGGGACCACGAAGGACACAGTAGTAGCTATCATGTTGGTGGCCGCGTGGCCAACAGCCACGAGCACGGGGAAAAACGGACGGCTTACGGACACGCTGAGCTTGTTAAAACGTCGCTAATTTGACACGTACGTCAAACGAGACTGGGCCAAGCAAAAAGTGGCCAGCGAATGGAGAAAGAGACGCATCTGCGATTGGCCACAGCCGACATGTGTTGAGGTTGTGAATGGAAGAGGTGGTCGGTCTTCAGGTATGCCACAGCCGTGACGAGTTTGTTTGCCTGCCTCATTAATGAGTTAAACTTCGAATTGAGGCTAATTAATGTTGAGTGGCTTGCATCATGTTTCTGATGTTTGGCTAACAAAGTGCAATTAGTGAAAGTTTCGGATTAGAAAAATGGGTGTAAAGCAAACTTCGACAGCCATATCGATTGATTCGAAGAGTTGTTCGCTTTAGGCATGCGTTGAAACTTAGCAGTTTAACTTGCACTTAACTTTCACCTCTACAATGTTTGTCAACCATATTTCATGTAGTCTCCATTGCATTTGTACATGATACATTTAGCCTTGTCTATCCTTGTTTGTTGTATCAGTTGAACTGACGAATAGGTCATTCTTACTTGAAATCTTCTAAAAAGTTTAAATGAATTGTTCGTTCAAAAACTTTCCAAATCTTTCATAATACCAAAACTCATCTAATTAGTTTACGGTTTTTTTATTCATCAACATCAATGGGAAATTACCAAGCACTCTCATTTGACCGCATGGGTATGTCCGCAGAGACCTTTGTGACGGCAGACGTATCAGGGAAAACCTCAATAAGCAGCACTAAACTAATTTGCCCAGCCAACTGTTATAAAAATGCAAGCAATCTTGAAAAACTCTTCCAATTCCAACCCCTCGAAACTTCAGACCCCATCCTATCGAACACATCGCTTTGAGACAAAAAAGAAGAGGAAAAATAAACTACAAAACAATGTGAGAAGCTGAAGCAGATGAAGGAGAGGGTCCCCAATTGGAAAAACACATTTGTCCGCTGGCATTACAATAAAATTTAATTTTACACGCTATCGTAAGCATTTCCAAAAACCACACCCCACCCCCCAACCCACCGCCCACCACGCCCTGTGCTTATTTCTTATGCCTCAACTGGCGGCCAGAGCTAATCGGCAATGTCCTTGCGCATGTTATACATTATCCTTTTTCATGCTGGTTATCGCGGTTTAACTTTATCGTTCAGTTTCGTCCTTCCGCCTCATCCAGCCCAATATGAAGAATTTTTCTGGCTGTCCTTAGTACCTCCCCCATCCCCGCAGCCAGCTGAAAATACGAGTATGTTGGACATTTTCGGGGACCCCTCTTGAATTTCTGTGTTTATCGGCGCGCACGATTATTAGTTTTCTGTTTGCTGCTTTTGTTTTTATAGCCAGCGATTACATTTCGGTATATGTATGCTTGGTCCTTGCTTGGGCTTTTGGCAAAGTTCCTCTGGTGGAGGAGCCAGCACAAAAAGATTTGCAATAAAATTTTATTTGACTTGTTTTTATTTGGCTTCAAATGAGACGCAAAACTCATTTGGACTTTTTTCTTTCCCTTTTCTGTCTCGCCGACAAGTTAAAGAAATATTAAAAACTCATTGTGGACAATAATCTTGAATTTTTTATCGTGTGAAATAAGCGTAAATCAATGTAAAAAAAATTATATTATTTCAGCTATCAAATGTATTAAGGAAATTTGATGCTTTCAATTCAATATGTAAACAAAAATACGTAATAAACTTCAAATTATAACTTCCAACTTTCAACTGCTTAAAATTGATGGCAAACTGCAGAATTTAGGTTTCACACAGCCCAGTCATATTTATAACTTATTTAAGTAGTTTTGTATTATATATTCCCCCCAATTATGACCTCATCTTCATATCCAATCTTCATTTACAATACTTTTTATGTGTTTTGTTAAGCATTTTGTTGTGCACATCACATGCTGTGCAATCTTCTTCAATTTCAGCTCATTGCAAATTAATCGCGTAGACTGAATACCAAACCCCTCAACGCATGCTGCTGTTGCAGTTGAAATTTGTAGTTTGCGCTAGAAACAGCTGAAAATGCTACACATGCTGCAGCTAGATGGGAAAAATTACAATTTATAACCAAGACACAAACGCAATCAAAAACCCCCCGCGCCACCACACACAACCCGCCCCCTCAGCTAACCTTCTGTTTCTAGCTTCCGCCTGCTCTTTATGAAGCTTGTGAGTTAAGCTGATTCTTGGCAACAGCAGCAGCAGTTCTTTCAGTTTCACATTTATGAATAAATATGATGATGTATTTTTTTTGTAGACGCAAAATGAAAAGGAAAACTAGCAGCAGCTAATGAAAATTGAAAACTATAGTTTAACAGTAGTATCTGGAGTATTGCGAATACTTAAAAGTATCTTTCACCAACAAATGAAGTGTGCGAAAAAAAAAACAAGTTAATAACTTTTCAATATGTAAACGACAGCAAATGCGTGTTGGCCGCTTTGAAGGATTTATGATCCCAGTAGCACCCATTCAGGACATCCCCTTTGTGTGTGTGTGTTTGTGTGTGTGTGTGTGTGTGTATGTGTGGACATATTGATGTGCCTGATACACTCAGTCTGACTGCTTGAGAAGGGTGCGGATTACGGGAGCTTTTTCGGGCTCGCTGTGACTGGCCTGCATTTGGCAGGCAGCAGGCAGCAGGCAGCAACGCCAGACCCAGAACCCAACCCAAAGCCCATACTTGAGAGAGTCCTTCAGGCTGGCCTGGCAGAGCAGAGCGTGCGATGCGTTGGCAGCGGGGCGGGCGGGACAGCTACTTGAATCCAACGCCAACATGCTGATGATGATGCTTTATGATTAATGATTGGTGGCGAGAGCGTTGCGAGAATCCACTACAAGCCCAGTCGAGTCCTCCCCTCCTACCTCTATTGCCTGAAATATGTTGTGTCTCTCTCTCTCTTTCTCTCTCTCTGTCTCTCTGTCTCTGTCTCTGTCTATCTGTCTGGCATATTGATTCCTCTTGTTTGCATTAGTGTTTGTTGTTTGCTTTTCATATTTGTTGCCGTTCATTTGTTCTGCTTCGGATTTATATGCCATGCGGAAGACATTCACGAGTCTTCAAATCTAACCCCCTCCCTCCCTCCATCACTTCCACTTCCACTTACACTTCCACTTCCAGCTCCCATCACTGAATCTATGACGACATATGGACGTTACTTGATGCACATTTGTTTGCTTTTGTTTATTTGCTTTTCTTTTCTCCCATTTTTGTTTTGGGAGTTGCGGAATGCGTACTTATGAATGGCCATTGAGTAAAATATGCGTAGAACAAGTGCTGGGAATTATGATATCCTAAGTGTATAGAAGGAGAGAGAAATCTGAAGAGTAGAACTTCAGAAGATGTTGAATAAAGTTGTGTCGAATACTTGGTAGTTTTAAGGGTCTGGCTTAAATGATGCGTGATTTATTGCAAAAAAGAAACTGAGAAATTTTTGGAAAAATAAGAGACTAGTTTAATGAAATTGCAAAGTTTAGCTACATATAATATACATTATGTATACATACACATTTGTATAGAGTAAGATAGACCGAGCTTTTAACTAATTAATTATAGCTGAATGTTGACTTGCTAACGGGTGTCAGATCTATCATTTGGCCAAGAGACAGTCAGAGCATAACTCGGTCATATCCTCGAAATATTCCGAGTAAACAAAGATTTTCTGATATACAGCCACTTCGTAATGATTTGCAATGCAAAGTTTAAGGCACTATCAAATTATCTGCTGATTTTATCGTACAACGCTGTGCTCTTATTACTTCCTGGTATTTTCTTTCCTTTGTCACCCTCGTGGCTATTATCTTATTTCATAATGTATATCAAATGCTTTCCTTTTCAAATTATTTCCATCCACTGCAATCGCTCAGCTCCTCAATTTCTATAAATTTTCCCACTTTACAATTTGCAGTCTCGAGTTTCTTATCAGTCGCCTTCAAAACAGGCCACGAGCCATGTCCATTGACAAATGTCTGTCAGTCGAGCTGAGCTCATTAGACATTTTATAGACAGCCAAACAATCAGATGGAGTCAGAGAGAAGTGGGTGAAAAGGGAATTCGCATTCATTCTCTCAATTTGCCCTCAGTTTTCACTTGTCAATTTGCGCAGCGTCGCTTTGTCTTCTTTTTTTTTTCTCTGTGTTCAAGCAATAAAAAATGTTTATAACTACGTGATTTTGACTAAGCAACACGCCTCTGCCCCTAGCCCCCCTTTTTCTATTGCTGCTCCTCAGGAAACCCCGCCGAGTACATTTTGCGCTATTGTCAGCAACAAAATTCGCAGGGGTTGCTGACCGCTGTTTCAAGGGTGGTTGTTTTTTGCACTTCAGATCCATTCATTGCCACCAACTGATTGACATGCTCGACGAAGGCTCTCGGCTCGAAATGAGCTCACAATTAATTGTTACTTTGGCGTTTCGAGTTCTCCTCATCTCATTTCACATCACACCTCTCCCATGAATCACAGCACAATTGAAGGAACTTTAAGGGTTTCGCCACTTCTTTAATGTGTGTATGGGGTGCGGTTGTCGTCAAGGGTTGCCTTCAGCCATCCGACTGACTCTGTGTAATTAGTAGTTTTTGTTAATTGTGCGGCGAAGGCTAATTTTATGAGCGCTTTGAGGTGCAACCTCAAATTGCCAGACATTTCAAATGCCGCTGATAAGTGGGCAGCACTTTGTACGGCTTACCTAGTACAGTGTTTTTGCCCACCCACACACACACACACACATACTCACGCACACACACCCACACACACACACGCACATATACAGACAATTTGCCTTGGGTCCTTTGTCATGATTTTTGCCCAGGCATCCACTTGGGCAACTTATTGTTATGATATCCGGTCTCAAACAAAAGCCGCACGCTGCATACTTTTAGGCGCACGTCAACGCAAATTGTAATTTATATGTAATATGAACAGAGCCATAAAGTATGTGACACAAAAGGCAGCCTCAAATTTAAAGCACGCCACACAACAACTCTAGAGATGGCGACCGCCTATCGCCTTGTTAGCGACACGAGCCACAAATTGCAATACGTTCCCCAGAACAATGTTGACCGTTCTGTCAGCAGGCATTAAGTGTCGCAATTCAGCCTATCTTCTGAGGAGGGGAGAGGGCAGACTGCAAAGAGTAAGGCCCAACAGATAAAGTATATGCTGCTACAAGCATTATTCAATTATAAGTGTCATATATTCTTCGCTTATCAACTTAATTCCAAAGTTTATAAATATATATATATATATATAAAAAATCATGTTGAACTCTCCTTGAAAGGGCAGCCATTCGAGAACTTCTATCGAGAAAAGATGTGATCGTAGTAAGACTATATTGGTTAACAGTTCTACGAAGCAAAAATGATGGAATAATGAATTCAGCCAACAGTACAATATGTATTTAGTTAAGGTGCTGCGAAGGATAAGTCTAATTGTAGTTGGCTTAAGAAAATTTAAGAGCAGTTTGGCTGCAGTCTATATTCGAACCTCGTCATTTCAAATAGTAGCACTACAGTTTGTGTGCCTAAGTTCTAAGCATCATGATCGTGTCACGTCACGTGTCCAGCTCTAGATACAATACACACACACACGCACAAACCCACACACAACCACACACACCCACACACTCGCACAGACACACAACACTCAGTTCTCATTTCTCGCTCAATGCCCTCTCTATGGCATCTTCACGTTTTCGAGTTTGCCCCCGTTAAGCACAAAATATGCGAAAATGTCGCATAAATTTGATGTCATTTTCTGCTCGCAGCGAAATTAGAATGAAGCATCGTAATGTCTTTTTCTTTTCATTCTTCCGCATCTTTTTCTACACCATAGTATTTATTTATGATTTCGTGATGCTGCTGATGCTGCTGCTGCTGTTGAAGCTCAGTCAATTTTCCAGCTGGGTGCACAACGATTTTCACTTTTAGTTCAACTGAAGCACTGAACCGCCTGAACCTCAATATACTAGTCAGTCAAATCACGCCAAATCGGAAGTGCCAACTCATTGTGCGTGTTCCAGAATTACACCAGCTTCGATTCCTGCTCCCGGCCATGACTCAGGTGCTTGTCAGTGTTGCCACCTAAGTGTCGCCCACATCTCACATCCTGTCAAAGCTAGGCGTTGGTGCGCAATTTGTTTTCCTTAAGAACTGCCAACTGTTGACTTCCCCGCCTACCCGTCGCCCCGTTTCCCCATTTTGTTGTCATTGAAATATTGTCACATTTGACAATTGCTGACAAGCTTATCATATTTTATGCTCTTGCCACATGCAGCACACATGTGCTTGCCCCACAAGCAGGAAGAAAACTCTCCCTCTCTCTCTCTTTAAATTTATTATAAAATTTCTTACAAGCACTTTTCTGCACATTGCAGACGACTCGGTGGATGTCACATCGGAACCAGATGATCAGGATGTCTCCGTGGCTGCTGCCTCACACAATCCCAACAAGGGACAGCTGGAAGTGCAACTCGGTGGCGCCGTCACTTTGCAGTGTCCACAAGGTAAGCACATTTTCAAAACAAAAATGCTTCCAACTGAAAGAGATTCTTTTATTGGTTGTATGTTAGGTGGACCACTTTGTCGAAGTCGTTAAAGATTAAAATTTAGTCACTTCAAAAGCATATACAACACTTCCAATACAGCATCTATGTGGTCTATGTGGGATATAGGCATAGGAATACCCAAAATATCCAATTTTGCTTTTGCGAAAAGCGTACACAAAACAAAATGTAAAATATACGTCAAAGTAATTGGCAAATGGTGGCATGAAAGAACTCCACTGACAGATAAACGTCGAAATTCTAATTACATTTTAAATTTCGTTCCACTAATTGAGGCACACAGATCGAAGAGATTGGCACAGTGAGACAGTGTGTTGAACGGAGATCTATTCATTAATTAGCACAATTGAAAATTAATTATGCGTGCAATTTACTTTGCTCACTTTTTGGGGCAACTAACAAACGGCCATCCCAGCCCCAAAATATCAGTTAGTTGATGTGGGTAGGAGAAGGCAGTGGTCTTGGGGTGCCGTGTCCCCTCTTTGACAAATGAAAGTGGAAGCTTTTTTGTTTTGTTTACGACTCGAGACGCATCAATTAAAGAAATTAAAACTTGCGTGCCTGGGCCAAAGTCAATTAATTAAATTAGAAATGGCGCCCAGTCGCCGAATTATGCAATGGTCTTTAATGTATTCCCTTCTATGCTCTCGTAGGCTCCCTGGGCTGCTGGTCACACTTGGACCCAGTTTCGGCGAGGCTGCGGGGACTCGGCTATGGCAGCTCTCAGCCGACGGGCCAATTCTCGCTCAAAGATGTCATGTACCAGGATGCGGGCACCTACAAATGCGTCGGCCAATCGCTGGCCAACAAGAAGAAGCTCGATGTCCTTCAGAGTGTCATCGTCTCAGTCAAGGGTAAGTCAAATGTGCAAATAGCAATTACCAAAGCAGTCAAATGTCAACTTGATTTAAGAAATTCGACTTGTCGACAGTCGTCCGACTGTATCATGTTTCCCCAAGTATAAAACACTGTTTTCACATCGATTGTCACAAAAATTGTCTCAATTTAAGCTGATATTTCGCTCAATACTAAATCCATAGTCCGGTTGAGACAGCTGGTTTTTCAGCTCGGACTCGAGTAGTTCTATCAATATATATAGATATAGGTATATAGCCTACTGTTTGGGCTTTGGCAGGTGACAGCAGCGAGTTAAAAACATTAAAAACTTTGACAGCAGTTTTCAGCACGTTGCAAAACAAATGAAAACTTTTGCGTTTCAGCTTTGTGTTAAATTTTGTTCTCTTTTCGCCTTTTTTTTTCTTGCTGTTTCTCTTATAACCGTTTTTGGTGGCCTGTCAAAACTTCGACATTTTACTTTGCATGTGATTTTCGAAAAGTTATCCAAAGACTTTATGCTTCATTCTCTCGACCCACCGTTCACACTCTCCATCCCTCTCTGTGGCTCTGGCTCTGCAGTCTCTATCTTGTCGCATTGACACTTGTCAAATCTTTGCCTGGGCGTGTGGAAAAACGACGCATGATTGATGACTGGAGACAGAGGTGTGGAGGAGTTGGGAGGTTGAGAGGTTGGCAGCCAATTCCAATCAGTTCTCGCTGAGGCATTGAGAAATTACGTATACGCCATGAATAAAATGTTCAGCTGTAGCTGACAACGATGCCCGATGTCAATGCTTGAATTCTCCAAGAAAAATGTGAAATCATACGACCGGAAATTAAAGAAAATGCGCACACTTTGATTTCATATTGTCAGTCTTAAGCTGCATCAGTAGCTCTTCCCATCTCTCTCCCCCTCCATTCCTTTTTCTCTCACTATTCCTGTCTCTTTCTCTCTGGCTGCATTAAGCTGTCTTCGGGCACAAGTTAAGTGGACACTGAGACAATAAAACTTGCCAAGTGCTGGTTTGCCCGATTGCTGGCATTGGTGGGTTAAGCTACTGTCAGATGACACCAGCAGGTCAGGTATTGCGATAGCTTAGATGGTTAAGGAGACGAAGAACCCTCGAGTGCAATACAAACATGGCAGTTGTTCCACTGCTGTTGCTGCTGCGGCCAAAGCAATCAAACAAAGTCGCTCAAGAGGACAGAGAAAAACGGAGGGGGTAGGCAAAACACCATAGACGGACAGAGAGAGGCACACACTCTCACACACACACACACGCACACTTATATCTCCTCTGTGAAGGACATGCAATTCAAGGTAAGACATTTTGTCATTAAAACTGCGAAATTGAGTGCTGTATAAACAAAATACGCAGTCGGGACCCCGGGACTCTAGGACGCCAGGACTCCTGGACCCTGGCAGCCAAGAGTCAAGGAGTAAAAGATGACAGAGGCGTTGCTGCTAACGCTTAGCGCAAATAAACAACTAAACAGAAAAAGAAGAGGAAGACGATGAAGCCAGGGGGATGAAAGCGTGAAATAGTCATATTTATCAAGTGGCAGCATAGAACGGAGTCAAAGACGGTACAGGATATGCAGGATGTGCGAAAGACAGCAGCTGAAAAGGTGGCAAGCACATGGAATAAAACCTGTACGCGCCAACAACGCATACAACAATAGATTAAATTTACTTCATACGCCCAGCAGACAGAGATAGCATAGATAGATAAACAGAGACAGACAGAGAGAGAGATAGAGAGAGAGAGAGAGAGATAGAGAGAGAGAGAGAGAGAGAGAGAGAGAGCGAGACATGTCAGAAATGTTGTGTGTGTTGTTTAGTGTAGTTAGCCCCTGGGGTAAATGGCTTCACTGTACCTTGTGCTTCCACTTCCACTTCCACTTCGAGTTGCACTTGTAGTCCGCCTTGTATTTGTGTTTGCTTCTAAAATTAAACAAAATTCAAAAAAATAAAACACGAAACTGCCAAAACTGCCAAGCAAAAGTCGAGCAAGTTTCTCCGTCTACAAAGTTTCCGGTTCTTTTCACAATACTCGATTGCAAGAAGACGTTGAACATGTAGAAGAAGTCGCATCGCAAGCGTGAAACTCCAAATTGTTAGCAGTTGTTGTTGTTGTTGTTTGTAGAGTAGTAAAATTTAGAAATTAACACAAAAAATCATAGAAATAAGTGTAGATTTGAGGCAAGCCTCGCTACAGGAAACCTCATAGTCGTGAACACTCTATTCAACTGCTGCTCAGTTGAAGTTCTCTCCACTTAATATGTGGTGACAGCCTGACTCTTTAGCTATATTCCTATATTCATGGAGACAGGCAAAAAGAATGGGAGCGAGGGGTCTGGCACCCAAAATATCTTCATTAAACTGCACTTTAGAGCTAATAAAAAATGCTCTCTTCAAGCTGTGTAACTTTTTGCTGCCAGCAAACAAAAAGCAAAAAAAAAAAAATGAGGAGAGAAAGAAATGAAGCCAGTGCAACTTTTGCTGCATTTTGTTTAAATTACATTAAATAAAATGTAAACAAAAAGCTAACCGAAATGGTGTGAGGGGGGGAGGGAGGGGGGGACCAAAAAGTAGTGACAAAGTCTACTGAGCCACTTTTGCGCAAGCAGCCAGTTAACATATGCAGACTTAGCCACACCCATACACACACTCATACGCACACACACACACACACACACACACACACACACACGCATTGTCAACACGAACGCCCACATAAAGTTAACGACAAAAAAAATAATGTCGAAGAAGTAGCAGCAGAAGCAGAAGCATGGGAAAAACGTTAAGGAAAACGCAACGGAAAGCCAAAGCCAAAGCGAAAACGTTGCGAAATTGTTAGAGAAAATTGTTATTTAATTTGTGTGAGTGCTGAACATTTTTGCAGCTGCTGCTGCTGCTGCTGCTGTTGCTGCTGCTCAAGTTTTTGCGAGCAAAAAACTTTTTTGGGCCAACATACGCACCAGAAACTTTAACACAAGCATAAATTTACTATGCGACTGTATAAGTGCATGCGTGTGTTGGTGTGTGTTTGTGTGTATTGGTGTGTGTTTGTGTGTATTGCTGTGTTAGTGTTGGTGTGTGAGTAAGTAAGTGCACTTTTGCATTGGCTGCTGGCAGGCAAGCAGAAAGACTGCAAGACTGCAACACTGGAAGACTGCAAGGGTGAAGGCGCGCATCCTTTGCTGTTTCTTCAAAATTCATATGCACATTTATTTTATTCTCCTTCGTTGGCTATCCCCCCCGCCACCCCTTTCCCGGCCCCTGCCCCGTGCCCTTTCTCGCCCTCCGCTGCATATGCAAGTAGTTGCTCCCGTTGCTGCTTGCGTTCTTGTTGCATAATTTGAGGCACCCGCTTATAGGAACCGTTTTCCGACAACGGCTGGCAAACAACTCCACACCGACTTCATTACTTTGCCATGCCCACAACAACAACACAAAAAACAACAAGCAACAACAACAACGACAACTTGTGCATAATGAAGCTTTGTTTTTGCCTGGGTGCTTTTTTTTTTTTTTTTTTGTTGTGTTGAGGCAACTAATCAGGAGTCAGAGGACAGCAGCAAGCTTCCTGGTCGAATCATTGAGCTGTGCAATTCATATCCTTAATTCTTTGTCCTCTGTTGTCAGCGTTTATCTTTTGCCCTTTTACTCTGGAATTTGTAATTAAGTGGCGCCTCCTGTTAGGCTTGTGGATTGTCTGCTAAGCAGCAGGTAATCAGTCACAGAGTTTTTTCTCTTTTTGTTTTTTTTTTTGTATTTTTGTCGTACTTTACTTTGTTGGCATAGTTTTTCGATTGTTGGCTTTGCAATTTGACTTTTAATAAGAAATAATGTTGAAGAAGTCTTCTGAATGGTTAAGCAAACGCAGCTGACGTTTACGTTAAAGGAATGTTGAATAATGGCTGAGTGTACTCGACTTACAGATACCCATTGTTCATGCCACAAGTAGCCCAAATCAATCACTTATATATATATATATTTAAAGGACTATTCGAGACTACAAATTTTTGATACTATTTCGAATACAAAAGTATTGCAAAAGTAGCCAAGAATTGGAAAAGGAAGAATATAAAGCTGATCTTCTAAAGGTTGTTTTTACAATTATTTTTCAATGAAAAGTAATATTTTCAAAAATGTGCCAAGCATTGACGACTGTCACTACTTGCCTTCTAGAGTATTGCAATAACCGTCAACTGTCAGCTGCTAATCTCAGCATGACTCCAAACGATTTTTTGTGGAATTTTTATTACAAAATGAGCGCATCGCAGAACGACGAGACTTAAGTGCCGTCTCCTTATGCAATATGTATATGCCAAACAATCTACCACTTCACAAATTATCAATATCTTGCCAAACCAAATCCCCGCCCCCACTCTCCCCTGCCTATTCACTGGTTCTTGGCTCATTTCTAATAAAAGTGCCGCGCATATTCCATGCTTAATTTGGTGTTCTTGGGATAAGGAAAAGGGAGCAGTTTACTACAACTCCAAGAATATGTGTACATGGGCATAAATATTGCTTTATGCACACACACACACACACACACACACACTTAAGCTGGTGGCACGCCCCCTTAAGGCAACCAAGAGGAAGGCGTTGTTTTATGCATGCTAATTTGTTATGTGCATGTTCCTTTTGCCGCATGCCTTTTGATCAACATATATAGCCACCACATACATATGTACATACATGTGAGGCAGTCAGCGAGTACTGCCTTCTCTGCAGACATACCCCGTAAATATTTTCATTGACGTTTCTCTTTGCTTTTTGTTTTTTTCATTTTCCATGCGTAATTTTTCTTCTTGGCAATTTTTGTTTTTTTTTTTCCGGAATTTGGCGCGTTGCTGGCAAATATTGCTTTGTTTCTACTCATTAGGCCAGGCTCAGCTCGGGCGGCTGCTAACAGGGCTAAAAGCATAAGGCACTCATGTGGGAATATGTCTGCATATGTGTGCGTGTGTTTGTGTGTGTGTGTGTGGGTGTGTGTGTGTTGCC